GGCTGTCCCCATCCGTTATTAAGGATGGAGGCTCAGCCTTGGTTTTGGAGTTAACAAAACTCCTGAGCTGTGTGGAAAAGGAAGAGGTTCCAACTGAATGGTGTGAATCCGTCATCATACCGATTTACAAGAAAGGTGACAGATCCTCCTGTGAAAACCACAGAGGAATTAGTTTAATCAATATTGCCTCTAAACTTCTCGCCGGTATCCTACTCCGCGGATTGTCAGCCACACGTGAACGGTGTACGCGTGAGAACCAGGCCGGTTTCAGACCTGGTCGAGGCTGTATTGACCACATCTTCACACTCCGTCAAATTTGGTTTCAGACCTGATCGACGCTGTATTGACCACATCTTCACACTTCGTCAAATTCTAGAACATAGACACTCCTTTCGTAGCCCCACCATTTTTTTTATTTACCTGGATCTAAAAGCGGCTTTTGACTCAGTCGATCGCTCTAAACTCTCGCGCTGCCTTTCCCTGAAAGGGAGTGGCCGAGAAGGTTATTTCAATATTACAATCCCTCTACAATAATCCGTTTTATTTTCCCCGCTTTTTACCTATATTTCTTCGTTCGCCTATGGTTATTTTGGCGCTGTATCTGTAAGGATTGGTGCTGAATATATATATATATATATATATATATATGGTTAAATAAAAAATGACATCTTGGATCAGAAAAGTGAATGCTACCAAACGCCTATTTCATGTTTTCCCGCGATTTTTCAGTCTTCAGACGTGCGTCGTAAGTCGGATAAAGACTACCGTTTAAGCCTTTCTCGTTCTGGCCTTCAGTATTACTTTGCCGTATAGTAATACAAGTATTACCAATTAGTTGGCAACATAGAACAAAAAAGACTCAAAACACAGGATTATCATCCAGATTCAGAAAAATCGAATGAGAAAAAATTACCAACTGAGTTGATTGTGAACTTACCAAGTTACATCTCCCGAGCTTGTGACAATCTGTGCATCATTCAGAAAGCGACAACAGGACAAATACCCCGTGTGTCCAGGCAGTTCTCGACTGACTCGGACGTTGCCTTCTCGTGATCGAAGATTGTATATAGAACAGACGTTATCCAGACCTCCACAAGCAACGTAATTCCCCGAAGGGGCGTATGCACATGTCATCACCCAACTGCTCCTCAATGGAATGGCATGAACCTGGAAAATCCGGTGGGTAAGGCAAAATGTTTTGTTTCAGAAACCAGAGAAAAAATCCAAAAATCTGGCACAGCACATTCGTGACCTTCAGAGGTGTAAACTGCAGCTCATGGGAAAAAGTTAACGATATTGAACCACTTCGAACTTATTTAGCAAGAAAGCAATTTTTTGAATCCCTAGCTTAGTCGTACAAGATTTCAGACATCGATGAGCGATACACCAACAGAACATGGCGACAGTTACCAGTTAAAATCAAGTTCAATTTTTTTCGAAACACAATTTCAGAAATGCAGAGAACGTAGAAGACGGAGACTCAAACTAGGAAAACAGCTGGCTACGTGACACGAAATTCATTGGTATTATAGCACCAGTGATTACCCCAACAACCCATTCACTTTGGTGGTACGCAGGTTTCATCATCATCATACGTAATACAGTGAAGCGCACTCCACTGATCGCTGCCAAATTCATATTGCATACAAGGTGAATGGGCATGTGCAAGGAGGATAGAGACTGGGTCTACTTTAGGGATGGGAAAAAAAGCGAACCTCTATGACCAACACACATGGCACAGCCCGAATTTGCATACACACTAATTCAGCATTCTGGTCTAATAAGTGACAGCAAGATCACCATGGCTCTCGGTTTGCTGCCATGACCTTCGTGGTAAACTACTTACAACGCTACTAGGCAACGAACAAGTGGTCTCGGGTCGAAAGAAGAGGCAAAGAGAGGGTTAGGTAGGGAAGATAATAAGTTAAACAAAGGTTGGAATGTCTGAGCAGTAACCCACTTATCACTACCCATCCTGCTCGATGTAATGGGCAGCACGGCCCTGGTTATTCTGCACGACGACCGATGCAGTATCAAAATTATTTTAGTTTGTGTACTCATTGGAGCTTTATGGACGGGTACTGCCAGGGTGTCCAGCCACCAAGCAGAACGATTAAGGTTCTTGTCCAAAGCATTTAGTTCTAGCAAGAACCACACCGCAAAGCAGCAAGTAAAGCGAAATAGAGGCCCATTTACTTGGACCGATTACTCATTTACCATTTTACTGACTGACATGCTAACTCTAGTTGAATCCCCAACCTGGAGGACCAGGAGACTGAACTTCTTCTGACCTCTACCCTTCGATCTTCCAGGCATGATTAGATCTGCGGCTTGACAAAAGCCATTCTGTATAGCTTAGTGGGTCACAGAGGCGCATAAGCCGTCACACCACGTCAAGGTTAAGTCTCTTTGTGATGGGTAGGCAAATTCGCTGTCGCCTGGCTCAATATCACGCCTAAGTTAGTGGGGCTCAATGTAGTTTCGGGGTTGAGGTTGTCGGTATCCATAACTAAACAGGTAGCAGGTCCTCTGCTACTTATCAAATAAGAAATTGTAATAAAGAATTACATTATCACAGACCGTGCGTCATCCGTCCATAGGTATTGGTGTATTGACGATGAGACAAGACCCAATTTATTTACTCAATACTATACGGTAAAGTACTATAGAGCAGATTTCGCCTATGTGAAAACTCGAGATAGGTAAGCTGGATCGAAGCGGACCTCTTAAATCAACCCCCGGTTCAAATCCTAGCCGAAAAATTTAGTGAACACTGAACTTGATCAGGGAAGCTACCAAAATATTGATCGAAACAACGGTGGATTCTGGCGCACGATTAAAGCACAAAAGATGGATCTTCTCGACTTCGGTTGCCCTATTCGACGCTTGTATAACCAGTTCCCCAGACGGCAAATTGACACAGCGCACAAATCCCATAAATGCCAAATCATCAAGATCCTGAGGAGTGACCGCAATAAGTGGTGAGTAGCAAAATATAGAGCGCAGCAATAGTCGCAATCAATTCCATCTTGAGGAAAACGGGTTCAAAGAAAAATAGACGAGGTATCCAAGGATGGTGTGGCACATTGATTCAGCAGCAACGCCGTCTTGATCGACGGGCTGAACGTTTCGAGGATCTGTCCAACGGACCTCATTGACATTTGATATTTCAACCCCTGCCTCGATTGGACAAACATTTCCAGTTTATGCCTATCATCATTTAGGTTTCCCAGGGAATAAGTGAACTCAGATGTGAGGCCTCTGGTCGTTTTTAATAACGCCAATTCTGCGTCAGTCTAGGAGTTGATGAAATTGCTAGGTTTCAAATGGGATAGCGAAAAGGTTTCAACTGAATGATGTAGACCGGTCATCATACCGATTATAAAAACAGACGATAGGGCTTTTATAAAAACAATGTTTCTAAACTTCTAGCTGGCAGCAAATGAAGGGTGTACACGTAATGATCAGTCTGGTTCTATACCTGATCGAGGTTGTGTCGACCATACTTTCACCTTTTGCCGAATACCGGAACACTGATTTTCTTTCTGTAGACCCATGATTTAAATCTTCTTCGATCGTGGACCACTCCAAACTCTGACGCTGCCTTTCCCCGATAATTTTATTTCAATATTACGGTTTCTGTATAACAATAACCGAAGCCGGATTAGAGCTTTCGGAAACTTTTCACCCAAAATCATCACAGAAAGTGGTATTCCTCAGCGTGAGCTTCTTTCACCTTTGCCATACTGCATTAGGAAAACAAACCCCGTCTTCAAGCGATGGTGGCATCTATCTTCTCCCAGGAGACAAACTGTCTGGTCCGGAGTATAGATATGACGTTATGCTCTTAGGTGAGCATCTAGGTAAGTTGCAAGTTCTTCTCGATAAATTGAGTGCTAGTCTAGACATGTTCGTATGCTTTTGGCACTTTAAAAGTGCAAGCTGTGGTTATAGGACTAGGGTGGTTTTGCTCCTGGTGTTCAGTTTTTTTAGCTTAAACAACCAATAAGCATGCGCTTCCGTGCGTCGCTTTTGGTTGCTGTCTCTTGGCTGCGTTTGGGTGAACAATAGGAGGCGAACAGAAAGGTTGAAAATAGGATCAAAGAGAAAATCGAGAAGTTCAGTGGACCAATGATGCAGAGAAACTGAGGTGCACGAACGCCATTGTTTACGACACTCAGCCACATCACTCAGTGTCTCTAAACATCCCGAGGTCCCAGGCCAAGGGGCCTAACGGGACAAGTTTTGTTATTTGGGCGGGCGCATCGCGGATGAAGTATCGTCTCGCATACAGAAAGGTCGATAAGCATTCATCAATTCTTTTTTATTACACACGAAGTGATTTACAGAAAAAGGGGTGGACCCCATATTCAATGACATACTGTAAGGGGGAGGTATGTGGGGGAACATTCAAGTAGGAACAAATTTGTTAATCTTGCTTTTGAAAAGGGTAAGGTCATAAGAGCTGGGAAACACGGAAATGGGAAGTGTTCCACAATTTTGCAGGTCTCGGGAAAAAAGAGGATTGAAAGATAGAAATCCGATATCTGGGGATAGAAACTTGATAAGGGTGACTGGTCGCCTGAGAACGAGATGGACAAGAGGTCAATGAAAGGGGGACCGCTGAAGCGAGTTCGGAAGAGCACAAACCAAAATATTAACGATAGAAAAGAGATAACGAAGCAACTGCCCGGCGACGGGAAAGCGACTGCAATGTGGAAGTTAAAGACGGTTCGTCGATCAGCCGGATGACTTTGCGTTGAACACGGCTGAGGAGAGAAAGAGCGAAATACGAAGCTCCACCCCATACGTGACTGCAGTATTCAGGCATCGGGCGGATTTGAGCTTTGTATAAAAGGTGCTAGAGTGTAAAGAAACGCCTTGCGCGGAATAAAAAACCAACTTTGCGCGCAGCGCGATGCAAGTGTAGAGATAAAAGGGAATCAACAGAGACAACAATTTATGGATAAACCCAGGAGGAAGAGAGAATTTGTGGGACGGGGCAGAGAATCAAAGATCAATTGAGGAAGAGACCTGTTTAAGAGGGATTGAGAAGAGAAAAGTTGGTTGGTAGAACCCCATGCGGAAATGAGTGCGAAATCGGAGGCAAGGGAAGGACTAATGACATTACGATCGTGATCGATTTTGGTATTAGCTTGACGGATTGTGGGGTAAGAAAGAGAACAATGGAGAGTGGCGTCATCGGCAAAGCAGTGGATAGGATTAGATCGTTGGGATGAAAGATCGTTGATAAATAAGAGAAAGAGCGTGGGCGGAAGTATGGAACCTTGGGGAACACCGGCGTCTACAGGAAATGGCCGAGAAAGGACCTTATCTACTTGGACGGAGATGGTTCGCTTGCTGAGGAAACACCGGAGCCACGATATTTGAGACAGGTGGAATTCGAACGTGGGTAATTTCGGTAGCAGACCTTCATGCCAAACGCGGTCGAATGCCTTTGAGATGTCGAGCGAGACCATGTGAGTTTCTCCGTGGTTATCGGATGCAGCTGACCAGGAATGTTATGTGAACGCCATTAAGTCACCCATAGATCGACGAGGGCGAAATCCATACTGACGGTCATTTAAAAAACTTCGCGTTCGAGAAACGTATGCAGTTGGTCGGAGATAATGGTTTCAAACACTTTCGAGATTACAGATGTAAGAGTAATGGGACGGTAGTTGTTCGGGTCGGAAGGGTCGCCGCTCTTTGGGATTAGAAAAATAATGGCATTTTTCCACGGAGTAGGGAAAGATTCAAGCTCAAGTGAGGAACAGAAAAGGCGGCGTAGAGCAGGGGCTAATTCCGGGCCACACATTTTTAGGACGACAGGTTGAATACCGTCCGGACCTGGTGGTTTACAAACATACAAACCGCGAAGAGTTTGGCGGACCTTTCTGGTTGTTATGATAGGTAAAAAGGAATGACTGGATATGTAGGAGGAGGGTTGAACAGTAGAGGCGGCAGATAAGGTGAAGTTGGAAGCGAAGACCTCTGCTTTTTCGTGGAGATCACAAACAAGAATACCAGAGGAGGAAAGTCGGAAGGGCAGAAATTACGTGAAACCGCTTTAGCGAGGGACCAGAATGTTCGGTTACCGGTAGCGGAAGAAGCCAAGCGAGCAGCTTTGTGACAAATGAAGCGTTCTTTAGCTCTCTGAATAGTGA